CAACAGATGTGAACAGTACTAGCCCAACTAGTAAAAATAATTAATAAGATTTTCAGTTAGAAGGCCTCTCATACTCCCCATGTTTATTATACTTATCTATTAAATGGAGGCCTGAAAACAACATGTGATGATTGATATTTTTTTTTCATTCATTACAACTCACTACTGAACATAGGCCTCCCCCAAGGAATGCCACAAAGTACAGCCCTGAGCCACCTACATATCTTATCAGGTCGTCGCTCCATCTAGTGATGGGCCACCCTACACTTCTCTTATGTCAATATGGCTAGCCCATTGCCACTTCAGTTTACAATTTCATTGATTGACATTACAAAAAAAACTTGATTGGTGACATCTATTCTGATAGTTATAACTATTGTTGGCAAATGGATGAGTTTATTAGTATATTTTATATGAATATAGTATGTAAATCACAACATATTTAATAAGTTTAAAATTTCGATGCAAATCTGAATTAACATTTATCACTGAATTGTTGATATAATATTGTAATATGTTTATTATATTAGACACTCTGATTGAGGTTGTGATTTTTTGCATTTAGTATTATCAATATTTATTATTATTACCATCACAGCCTGTTAAGAGTCCACCACCGAACATAAGCCTCCCAAACAAATTGTCTCATGGGGAGAGGGGATATTCTTCATAGTTGCCAAATTTAGCCAGCAGGCGTTTTGTTTCCCTCGGTTACCTCTTATGAGATCCATGATTTGTGGCATTTGAGCAGTTGATATTCTAATAACACCACTACTCAGTTAAATGACAATATTCAATCATCAATATTTTTGCTTTAATATTGTGTGTGAAAGATTAATGAAGCTGCACCTATGAAAGCATAGCTTTTTAATCAGTTACCAGTCTGCTTAAGTAACATTCTATTTGATGTTTTAAATGTGTCAAAAGATCACTGCCGGACATGGATAGTTAGATAGTTACCAAGCTTGGCAAGGTGGATTGCAGCAAGGTGGCAGCCATTGATTCCACTGCTGAACATAGGCCTCCCCCAAGTAATGCCACTAAGCACGGTCCTGAGCCACTTGCATCCATCGACTTCCTGCATGTCTTACCAGGTCGTCACTCCATCTAGTGGGGGGTCGCCCTACACTACGCCTACCGATACGAGGCTGCCACTCGAGAACCATTCTTTCCCATCGGTTATCGGTTCTTCGAGCTATATGGCCGGCCCATTGCCACTTCAGCTTACTAATCCATTGGGCTACGTCGGTCACTCTGGTTTTACTGCGGATATCCTCATTTCTGAGTCTATCACGTAGATAAACTCCGAGCATAGCCCTCTCCATAGCTCGCTGAGCGACCTTGAGCGTCCTCATACGGCCAGCAGTGAAGGACCACATCTCTGATCCGTAAGTCATCACTGGCAACACGCACTGGTTGTACACTTTAGTTTTCAGAGATTGAGGTATACCTGACGAGAAGATGTGTCGTAATTTCCCGAACGCTGCCTAGCTGAGCTGAATCCGTCGATTGACCTCTCGGTCGAAGTTGGACTTACCTAGTTGGACTATTTGTCCCAGGTAAACGTACTCGTCAACAACCTCGAGCATAGTGCTCCCCACAACTACCGGCATAGGTGTGACATGGACATTGAACATAATCTTTGTTTTGTCCATGTTCATCTTAAGACCTATCCGTTGGGAGACACCATTGAGGTCATTGAGCATAGTGCTAAGGTGCTCCAGCGATTCTGCCATAAGGATAGTCCTTATGGCAGAATCGCTGGAGCACCGTCGGCAAATCGAAGGTGAGTGATGTACTCGCCATTGATGTTAATACCGTATCCTTTCCAGTCCAGTCGCTTAAAAACGTCTTCCAACGCAGCGGTGAAGAGTTTCGGGGATATAACGTCAACCTGTATTACACCTCTCTGCAGTTGGATAGGTTTCGAACTCTGGTTCTGTACTCGGATAGCCATCGTAGCCCTACTGTACAAACACTTCAGCACCTCGATATACCGACAGTCAACTTGGCACAGCTGAAGGGACTGTAGCACCACCCAAATTTCAACGGAATCAAAGGCTTTCTCATAGTCCACATACGCCAGGCAAAGTGGCAGATTGTACTCTTCGGTCTTCTGTACAATCTGCCGCAGGGTATGTATGTGGTCTATGGTACTGAAGCCTTTTCGGAAACCGGCTTGTTCGGGAGGCTGGAAGTCGTAGAGTCTGCGTGCGAGACGATTCGTAATCCGGTCTGTAGTTCTTCAAGAGAGCGTTGTCGCCTTTCTTAAAGAACAAGACCACCGCACTTCTGCTCCACGCCTCCGGAGTAGTGCCACCATGGAGGACGGAATTGAAGAGCTTCTGAAGGACTTCAAGTACCGGTGTTCCACCCGCTTTCAGAAGCTCCGCTGTAATTCCATCCTCTTCTGGGGCCCTGCCGTTTTTAAGGTGCTAGAGAGCCATTCTAATCTCGCTCAGACTGACGTCCGGGATATCATCGGAATAGTGTCGGATAAGACTTGCTCTTGTATCGTTACTCACACTTGCCTGTGGCTCCAACGATGTGGTGTACAGCTGCCCATAGAACCTCTCAATCTCACTCAAAATCTCAGGTGTCCCGGAAACGATGCTGCCACACTGTCTTCAGCTTTGACAGTTGGCTCTTTCTGGCAGACAGATCTCTGGCAAAGACTTTGGAGCCCTGGTTCCGCTCGATCGCTTCTTTAATACGAGCAGTATTATAGATGCGCAAGTCTTGCCGCATGCATTTGGAGATCTGTCTGTTCAGTTGCCTGTATGCTGTCAAATCTGTTGACGATTGCAGCCTCATCTCCCGTCTAACAGCCATGAGATTAAGAGTGTGATCGGAGAGTTTTTGTGTTCTTCTGCGGCGGGTCTTGCAGAACTTAGCTCCGACCGCATGGACAGTTTCCACGAGCTTGTCATTCATATCGTCCACTGCATTGCAATCTTCTAGGCACTGAAAGCGGTTACGTAACTCGAGCTGAAAAGTTTCGGGATTCTGGATTAGAGCATGAGGGGGACGGAGCGTTGACTTCATTAGACGAGACCTCTCCAACTTAACGTTTAGGTTCAGCGTGCCTCTAACCATTCGGTGATCGCTGCCGGTTTTCACCCTTGCGATCACTGAGACATCACTGAACAGTTGGCGTCTGGTCGTCATAATGAAGTCAATCTCATTTTTTGTCGAACCGTCGGGGCTCGAACAGGTCCACTTCCTGTGGGGCCGCTTCTGGAGGAAAGAGTTCATCATAAAGAGTCCCTCTTTCTCTATAAAGTCAGCCAGCTGCTGGCCCCTACGGTTCCGTTGCTCTACTCCAAATTTCCCTATCTTCAGCTCACCGCCTTCTCTTGTGCCTAGTTTCGCGTTGAAGTCTCCCATCAACACCGTGTAGTGGGTTTTAGAGGAATGCATGGCTCTAGAAATATCCTCATACATTTCCTCCACCTCCTTATCGGAATGTGCCGAGGTTGGTGCGTAGACCTGTATGACCTTCAGCGAAAACCGTTTGGTGATTCTGAGTATCAGGTACGCGACCCTCGTCGACACACTCCCAATCTTTACAACGTTGTCGACGAGAGACTTGTGGACGATAAATCCGACACCTCCTTGGGACAGATGGTCGCCCTCCCGGTGATAGAACAAGTTGCCGGACTCGAGGATTACCGTGTTTTCCCCCTCTCTTCGGACCTCAGATAATCCAATAATAAGCCAGCGCAACTTGTCTACCTCTTCTTCCAGCTCCAGTATCTTCTCGTCAGTCCTCAGGGTGCGTGCGTTATACGTTGCCAGGTCGAGTCTCACCGAACCTCTACCGGAGATTCTTAACACCCCCTGCCCCGCCATTACCATGGTCTCCACCATGGTAACGATATTCATTATTTGACATTTATTAATTGTGGGCAGATTGTGAGGTTTTTGCGAAATGTTTTAAAAGATGTTAATGACACATGATATAGTACTACAGAAGTGCATGTTTGCATATTACATGATATAAGTATAAAATGCTAAGTTTGTCTCATAATTATAATTACAGCATAAAAGAAGGATTAGATATAACTGTTGGCTGAGAATGGAGATTGATAATCTCTGTACAAGAGTCATCATAACCAATGGGCCACAAGTTCATTCCTGCCATCTTCCCAAAGACTTGCACAAACTACATTTCTAAGACATCTGCATCGATTAACTCCCCACATGACATACTAAGATTTCACTACATCTAGTGTACCTTGAATTGAATTGAAACCTTTTCCCGTTAAATGTCGGTTCTTTGAGCATATATGGCTGGGGCATCTCCATTTCAGGTAACTAATCTGTTGGGGTATTTTAACTACTGCAGTTCTACTATAGATATGTTCATTAAGAATTATATCACAGATAATTTCTGAGCACAGTCCTTTCCATAACCCATTGAGAGACTTAAGTTTCTTCATACAACCAACATCTTTAAATATCTTGACGTAAGTAAACATACCCATCAACTACTTTGACTAGTGTTCTCACAACTATGGATATAGGTATAATAGACAGATGTTAGAATTAATATATTTGTAAAAATAAATGCTTACTTAAGTATGAACAAATTACTTGTTTCTTCAATGTATAATCATTAGCTTTTAAATCTGTACTGTAAGTACATTTTAAAATTACTCTTAAAGCTTTTTCTTTTTATTTTTACAAAATTACAAAATAAAACCTTCATAAATTTAAAGGAGACTACATCGACCAAACTGAAAACAAAATATCACTTTAAAGGTGACCACTTAGAAAACTGGAATGTTTTCCTTATCCAAACTGTAATTACTTTAAGCACTATCAGAGTATTAGAAATGTGAAACAAATGAGGCAGAGAATAAATTATTTTATATACCTGTGACCGACAATTTCAACATTTGTTAATATGGGTATAAAGGTTATTTTTGCCTACAACTTACTATTAAATATACACGAGATCATTAGAAATTTTATATGATTGGAGTTATGAGACTTACCAGCAGGTGGGTGTTGCGTTGTCCACGGTGTCCTGGTTGGCCTGCGAAGGAGACTCGGCTCCCCGCGCGCCACCCGCCACTGAGGAAGCCGTGGTGCCGCGCTGCTTGCTCACTGCCCCGGCATCATCACTGTCCTCACAACCGCAACCGCACTGATATTATCTCGAACGTAACGACACCACTACTTGCATCTCTACCTGAAACCACCACACATCACCGTGTTACTCACTAACGATTTGCGAGTAACTTCTCGGGTACGAAGTAGACGATAACACTGACACACTGTACACAAGACAAATCATCTGTAGCGTTCTATGTAAAAACACTTCAGAGTGCTGCGATCACGCCCAAAATCATCACACACGGATATATTCAGCGTAAAAATGGCAACCTTCAAAAATAATGACCCAACTAATCTCGCAAGTCCACCTAAATAATACTGTAATATTTATAAACTTTCACGATTTAATTATAGACCAGACGTTACTATTAACGTTTGAACATAAGTAAAAGCTAAGAAAATATTATTTATAAATAGCTTTAGATTATTTTGATACGAATCTATATCGGTCGAACATCACTTCATACACACCCCTGATTCGGGTGGAGCAGATCCTCTTCTTTTTCTTTATTATACGTTTGTTATAAGTAAATTAGCACGTATTAGTTAATAAGTCTACAATTAAATGACCTACACCCTGATAACTACAAAGACATTTTTGTAGCAATGACAGCGATCCGAATCGGCTTCACAGAACCTATAGAAAAAAATCAACATGTCGCCTGCTGTGATATTACAGAAAGGTGTTTATAGTGATGAGCTAAGCTGAGTTTAGAAAATCGAGATAAAGGGGCGTGGTCAGCTCAAATCGAGATCTTCAAAGTTTGAAGTTCAAACTGGTGGAATAAAACGGTGTCGATATTCAATAAAATATGATGATTAGATAACATAAAAATGTAAGCCTATACATATTACCTCAAATATACAAAAGATAAGTTCACATATCATTAATATATTAAACCTATAATATAACTTTAATAATCGTAAATAGTAAATATATAACAATTACAAACAAAGCAAAATGATTAAGAGATTTTATTATAAACAATTGTTTGCTTAGTAAATTGTCCAATTTTTTATTAAATAAATTACTATTTGAATGTAGACTTTCATTGTAAGGTTGTCTTAAAAATCAAATAATTAAATATCAGCAGTTTTATCATAATAATAGGATATTTGCGTGATCCTAATACTACGGTATAGAATTTTTTGCTTAACATATTTTTTTATATATAAGCGTGCAGTTTTTGCTACTTCAACTGTATTGATGATAGAAGGTCTCAAAAGCTTTTAGGTCTACTGAAGACCTTTTCACTTTTCAGGAATGCCGTTGATGGCATGCAAAAATGGTATGCATTGCTTAAAATATTTGGCAATATTCACAATACTGGACAGTTGGTTGGCGAGTGGTGAGTGTAGAGCTAACCCATAGCACAGGTAATTTTGCGCCCATCACTAGTCTGTGATTTATACCTTTAGAGTTATTAGATATATCAGTTGGTCGCCCGTGCCATGTCTATCAATGAACGAAATGCATTATGCATGAGATTTTGGAGAAAAATAATGGAGAAAAAGTAGTAAATAGATTAATTTAACGGAATTAAATAAATGTTGACAAAGCTGAATAAATACTATTCTATAAAACTCAACACGTCCGACAAGTCTCGTTTTTTTTCATGCGGAAATTGCACGTATGCAGTCAAACTCGCACCGGCTAAAAACCAATGGCCTATGCCAATGGCTAAACTAAATAACAGTACAGTATCCAGGAGACTTGCAAGTGCAGATTAAAATTACTTATTACTTCCATATAAAATTTGACAGTGGTACAATGTTTTATAAAAAAATATTATGCATTTAAAAATGAGAATATGCAGGGTTATTTTCCAAAGAGTAGTCGAATTTGAAACTGTTGAAATATATAAATAATGATAATATATATGTAGGAAGGTAATTAAATAAAATTTATTTACAATGACAAAATATGCGGATCACATTTAATCAACTATAAATTGTACTGAGATTAATTAAATTGCTGATGATAATAATTAATTCGTTCCCACGAATTAATTATCCGAATAGTCTAGGATGAGCTAGTAGCGAGATACAACAAGTGACTCATGCCACGCCAGCGCCAAGACTGCCTTAACGGCGGCCGCTCCGTCCTTTTTATACAGACGAGACACGTAGCTACACGAGCGCCACTACAGGTTCAATGCGCAGATGTGCGGTTCACGTGTTGTTTACAATAATTCCGTCTACCCACAGAGGCGCTGTGACATATATTATTGCCGTTTTTGAACATACGAGTAAAATAGTATTTTACTTTTATTTGAAATTATCTTAAATTGAATGTGATTTATGGGCAACAACGTTTTTGCATACCGATGTATCATAAATGAAGAATGTGTGCGTGTGCAGTAAAATCAGTTAAAATAATTACCACGCATTTTGAATTTAAAAGATAAAAAGGACAGAATGTTTGATTTTTTTAAATAAATTTATCTTCACCATTTGCCTTTATTACATAATCTGAACATTCTCTGCAAATTTGGCCTGATTATTGCAAAGTAACCCAGTATAAAAAGATTATTTAGTTTTAGATAATGTACATTTCGAAACATAGACCACCACTTAGACCATTAGCCTCGAGATAGATAGAGGATACATAGTGTTTATTACTAAATAAAATGAATGTTTAATATTAAATAAAAAAAATTCTGTAAGATCTAAGATTGCACATTTTTGCTAACACGAATCCTATGTTAGTCGCGTTAAACTTACGAGGGGCTTTCTATGAATTTTCGGTATTAAAGTAATCTCCTAATAATGTGGGTAGTTAAATAAAATTAGCTAACGACTCTAAGGGTATAAACATGAAATCGTGCCTTGATAACTTCGTTACTTCTTATGTAACCTTCAGTCATAGACGACGGGAATGAATGACTCGACAATGTTGAAAACAAGTAATTAAATTTAAAAAATAAACAAGTAATTAAATTCCTCACTAAACAAGAAAAAACTCAAAAAAAACCTACATAAATGAATTCTAGTCGTTTAACAAGACTCTGCTCCTGCAATTTCAACCGTACATGAGCGGTCAAGTGAATTCGAAGAGGTAAGGAAATCTTCAAAGATGACTTCCGCTCTGGTGGACCAATCAGAGCAGTTACAGAAGAAAATGTGAAAATTATTGGAAAACTTGTATTAAAAGATGAACGAAAAAGAATTAAGATGTTAGCAGAAATTACCAACTAATCAGTTGGTACCACACACACCGTTTTGCATGACTATCTCAACGTCACAAAAATCAGTGCAAGATGGGTGCCACGAATGCCCACTGCGCTTCAATTGACCCCCCCCCTCCAAGAAGTTCAAAGTCACTCCATCGGCCGGTGAAATCACGACCACTGTGTTTTGGGATTCCAAAGAAACACTATTGAGCCAGTACACACAAAAAGGTGAAACCGTCAACGAAGACAAATACTCGGCCACTTAACACCGTGAGAGAAGCAATAAAAGAAAATAGAAGAGAAAAACTAACCAAGGGAGTGCTGCTTCTTCATGACTGGTTCACACGGCTCCAAGGCTGCTGTACGAGACTGCGGGTTTGAGCAAATTAACCATCCACCATACAACCCAGATCTAGAAACTAGTGACTACTTTTTAGTCTAAAACTTAAAAAAAGACCTTCGGGGAAAGCTATTTGCCTACGATAATGAGCTCAAGTCTGCTGTAAATGAGTAATTTTCAGGCCAAGACCAAGAATATTGTTTCAAGGGAATAGAAAAGCTTTTTTTCATGAACAAGTAAATGTATTGATGTCATGGGATTTTTACCCACATCGAGAATACATTGAACGCCTCTCATACTTTTAACGTAATGAACTAACCAACAATCAGTGCATTACCATCAAGACAAAGGACTACATCAACTTTCTGTACGTAGTTTAAACTTTATATTTTCATTACAAGGGCTATTTATTTGCACTCAATGACTAATAGATAAATTACTGAAGCATATGGAATCGCAAACTAAACCGAAAATTCTTAATGGTCCTTCAAGCTGTATAGTTTACAGTATGTGTACATAATGTTTTTAAAAATAAACAACGATGGAAGTGTCAAATTAGTCACATTGAAAAGGTCCTAAGTAATGGATTGCTCATAACGGTTCCATTTGAAAAATTAATATTTTTTGAATCCGGTATAGAAAGAACCCTGTAGTAATAAATTATAGGACATAATGCTGTAAACGTAAGCAAAGTAGGCTAATTTGGCTGTTCCTTCAGTAGCCAGTCCTCTAATTTTTGTAATAGTAAATATTTCAGAACTTAATTTCGTTTATAACTTTAAAGTAGTGTTTCTTACATTATAATATGTGACTGACACTTGGAATCAATTGCAATAGAAATAAAAATAAAATATAAATAGGACTTTCAAAACACAAATTGATCTCTTGTAAATTAGTTAAAATATTCTGTAATGACCTAAACCACATAAAATGTAAAAACATGGTTGAAATGAAACTTTTTTCTCGACGTAACGGAGAAATTTAGTACATTATTAAAAAACGTCCCGTTTTATGTAACGTTTTACCGCCTAGATAGCATAATTATTTCCATTTATTTTAAAATTATTATTTAATCTACATAAGTAAAATATTGTCACGCACTCAAATCGACAATACACTAGCGCCATCTAGTGTCAGGAACGAGAGCGAGGGGAGCATTGAGAAAATGACATCACAAATCACTCAACCGACAGCACCTAGTCCAAACTCGAACGCTCGGTACCTTGCGCGTGTTTACTTGAACATTCTGGATATTTCTTTGCTAATTTAAATATATAAGCGCTGCAAGATGCGATCGAAGCAGTGTTGATTTGGCGAAACAAGCGAAGCTTCGGAGCGGAATAAAGTGAATTAGTGTGTTTAATTATTAGTGTTTTTAACTTTAATTTGTGTAAAGTAAATTAAAGTGTTAATTTAGGTAATTTTATCGGCAATTTTTATTGTCACGAACCTCAAGCTCGTAACAATTGGTGTCAGAAGTGGGATAAAATCATACCGATTTTACCTAAGGAGGAAACGGAGGGTGTCCGTACCCGAAGTCAACGCCAGCAGGAGACGGACCAACGAAGATTTGGTGGTGCAACGCCGCAGACGTCGGAGGGCCAGCCACCGGCTGCAGGCCCGTCGGTAGCTCCTACATCTGCAGCACCTGACTTAGGTGCTCTGATG